TGATTTGTGAGTGTGGTAGAATTATCCATGTGTGACAGGAAGGGAAGGACGATGGGATGCGACAATGTCGCAACTTGAAGACTGCTGAGTTGAAACACCGCTGTGTGGTATGATGCGTGCCTAGAATGGCTGATCTGAGGGATGCAGTACTACGAGAGAAATGCACGTGCTCGAGAAGCTTTGCTACAGGAATTTGGAACTACATTTGAATGGACAAATTGAAGATGTCATTAGTTTTTCCCCGCAGAATTAACCCTGACTCTCTCCCTGACCATCAAACCAGTAACATGAGACATGCAATTTACTACGGCCTTTTGTGCCTGCTGTCTACCTCATTTGATCACTTTCCTGTAATCACAACAAGGTTTCGTGAGCATGTTAGACAACACTTGTGTGAAACCTGAAAAAGTGTGAATAATCTGTCTCTGCATTTTTTGACCTATCTCATCACCTTGAGCCAATCATGCAAACAAAGCTGGCTGCGAGTGCGACGGAACCCACGAGTGGTGTCTTCTTGCAAATAAGATCTGATCATACTACCATGCTGTCAGCACATCCCTATGTCCACATTTTATCACTTGCATAGTTTGAGACATTCCTGGCAGAAGCAAAAGCCTACGACGCTGCCTTTTTGTTATTTGTTAATCAGCTGAGAAATCATTGACATCGCAGTGTAGTGAATCTTACGTGGACAAAGGAGAGCCAAAATGTCTACAGTAGAGCCGGCTGAAAGACAATCGCATATCACTCTTGTGAGAAACGCATTGGGAGAGGCTGTAAAATTCTACATGTAAATAACGCTGCACAGAGATTGCAGGGTTTTACAACTGAATTAATAGGAGTAGCATAGACACTTCTGCATGAAACACACCACCAACTTTCCTGTATCGCATGCTTGCTGCACCATCGACGTTTTATCACTCCATCAGATTAATCCACTTCTTTAATGGTGACGCAGTTATTTTTTACGTAGGTGCCGTCATGGGTGCAAGTCAGTTTGGTTGTGATCAAATTTTCAATACTTAAGTTAGTGTTCGAGATGGGCCTACTTATTGAATGAAATTCCAAATGTTCACTTGAGGTTAGGAAAATTAGGTGTGTAAGTTTTTGGTTTGTTAACATTTTCTGAGATCCTGAACCTTAGATATTTCTTGGAGAGCGAATTTTTTGTGTACATAAGCATACGAGTGTACCTGTCTACGTAAATTTCACCATTAAAATAAGTTTTTATGTGTGTGTTTGTTTGAGTGGATGTGATACGTATTTTTAAAGTTAAGTCCCTCTGCATATATGAATATGCATGAGGGAATATGGTTGTTATTATCAATATTGAGTATGCACACAGTTTAATGTATTTTTAAAGGTTATTTTATTATTAAATTTTTGCATATGCATGTTCGCCAATGGGTGCACGTGATGTGTTTTATTGAATGTGATTATATGCATGGATAGATATGAGTGTGTACAAATATGTGCACTTCTCTCTTTGTTAAAGTCCTTGATTTTGACGGAGAGCTATCGTAAATTTCTACACAATTTTAACTTAAATGAATTTGCTACCCCGTTTGTAGACCCTCAGTGCTCTTGAATATTTGTAGGCCTCTTCGAAAGACAAGTGCAAATGAATGTAATGATAAAATTTTGTGGTGTGCAATCAGTAATTGCCAAATTAATCACAGGTAAATTAACGCATGTTATCAAATGTTAGCATCCTAATGTAACAGTTTCCACTGTTTATTAAGCTGAGCAATGTGGGATGTGGATAATAAAAATTCCGAATATAAATTGACAGAGAAAGGAACTTTAGATAACTTTTTGTGGCTTTTTGAGTGCTCTACGTTATACTTATTTTGCGTGGCCAATTATATATCACTTACCGCCTTGGTGAGCAGGGGTGTCGATGTGTTCGGAGGAGTAATTTTCTGCCCTTTTTTAGGACAGTTGAGGATACTCAGTCTTGTAAATGCTCCCTTTGATCATTTACAGTACCAGTCTCTAATCAGATATCCTTGTGGTTTACGATGGAATCATTCACTATGCAATGACGATTGTAAGCACCGCTAGTGGTTCCTTCTCAAAATAGCTAGATTTCCATGACTTTGTTTGCCTTCAGCGGTAAATACTTTTGGCAAATCTATACAATGACTCTTCATTCCCGCCTTCAGTTTTAGGCACCCGGATGGAAAAGATTGGCTAGAGGAGTTGGACATCTCAAATTGTGTAATATGTGTAGAACGAATGCTCTTTTCCCTCTCAGGATGAGCCTACAACGTTGGATCACAATGTCATGTCGGTGATCGAGCTCACGTGAGCTTGAAGTCATGAAAGTACATTGTTGAGCATGTGCCAGCTGTAAGCAACTAAAAAGTGAACATTCTCCCTCGACAGCATTCCTCAAGGGCTCAAGTTAAAAGCCTATTCTTAGAGCAGCTTTTCGCCATGGATGGCCAAAATAGAAGGCATTGTTCATTTATGCTTTAAATGAATTGTCCTCATTACAGTTTATGGCAAGGCTATCCGCATTTGTGTTAGGTTACTGCGGTGCTGCCCAGATCCAAACTATCCGCATAATTGGGTGGAGAGAGAGAGAATGAGCTTGTGGGCAGAGTGGGCATGGCAGTGGAAGGAGAAGAGAGAGCTTGATGGTCAGGATCAAAGGAGCTTTTGTCTCAGCACCATCATCACCATCCCCCTCAGTTGCGTTATTATCTCCAGCACACTCCTATCATCATCATTCTTGCAAATCTAATAATGCTTCTTCAAGTCATGATTGTCGACTCCCCTCAACACTACCATCGGCAGTAGTGTTAAAGGCAGAGCGAGAGCATCACAGGACTGCACGAAATTGCCCTGCAGAAAGAACAATAGTGCAATAACAATGAGCTGACAGATGTTGAAATGGTAAGAGATTGGCCATTCGCTTTAGGACTAAAGGCGCCTCCTGTGTTCTAAATACAGCCTCGAGGTCTTATCTCCCTAGTAGAGGAGAGTCATTATAACTTACCTCTTTTGCAGTTTCTGTACCTAATTTCCTCCCCTTTTAAAAGAAATGAAGTGTACTGTGGGAAACTAAATGAGTCAATCGGGAAATTAGCTATTTGAAATTTATGGCTGCCTTTTATCGTGATTGAGTACTTCAGTGGCCCACATAAGATAACACGATTTTCCCTTTTGCTTTTTTGGCAAAGAAGGAAGAAGGGGCAAAGCAATCAACGCGGCAGCTTATTATGACGCCAATCCTAAAAGAAGGCAGGATATGATGGCTGCGAATAATACAATCAATGAATGTTTTACCTCCTAAGGCAAAACGTCCATCTATCACCACCCTTATTCCTGTCAGCACAGTATTATTGACTTGTTGCTTATTTTTTTGGTAAAATGAGTGGGTTGTTTTTTGTGGCTACTCGATGGTCTACTGTTTCTTCCTGTGGTAATGCAGAGAGGAGACAATAATGACCTAAGAAGGCATCATTAAAGACGTTGGTGGATAGGAGTCGCATTGGTGTTTGGGACGTAATGCAGATATTGAAGAGGATGTCATTTAGTGGGAGGAGACCATTCTGAACGCAAAGCATGTGCTGTTGAGTGTTTCAACACCACAGTTCAATGGTTTTGAGTGCTTTTAGAGGAGCACCTCGCACCACAGTTTACCAACATACTCTCCTTGTCCCACCAACTGGATGAGGAGATTCTGCAGCTAAAGTACAGAAGTAAAGTCGGCTAGTGATGCATCAGAAAATCGGACCTTGCATTTGTGCGAAAGAAGTGACACGCAGTGGTATAGATGATGGCGATAGGTTCGAGTGTAGGGGGCACAGTGTAGGGCATTGACAAGCAAATGAACCGACACATTTCATCCGTCCTTCCTAATGGTTCCGCACAAACGATGAGTTGCGCTTGATAAGTAACACCTTCCACTAAACGAGAAGTCATTGCAATGAGCTCTAGCGATTAGCACAGCATCCTGCTTGGCCACCCGTCAAATGTTCAACATGATGACACAGAGAGAAGTGAATGGTGTTGGGTAGATGCCGCATTTGAATGCATTGCATGACAATTCTGCTAATTAGGCGGCGTCATTTGGTTGATGTTTGAGATTAGGGAGTTTTCTGCATGGAACACACTGTGTGAGTGCTTACTCAGCTAATTTTGTACCCACCCACACTGCTCAACGCCTTTACTTGTGGCTTTTACTATGCTCGCTTATCAATAGCAGAATGAGTCATGTAGAAATAGTCTAGTAATTGTGTCATCTCGCGTCCTCGAAACGTCCTGTCAAACAATGAAGCAGAAAAAGGGGAGCGTGGCGAAAATAAGTGGAATGTAGAATGTCAGAGAACACCAAGGCTTTGGATGGATACCAAATGAGTGATTGGTGTTGGTATATTGCAGCGCTATTGTTGATGTCACTTTCACACGCCTGACCTCCTCGTGCTTGTGTTGGCAGAGGTATGAATTTGGTATTGTTGTGCGTTGAGAGGGGAAATTCGGTGGAAGCAGCTACGATTAAGGGAGCAGGTGCGTGTGAGTGACTGACGTAGTAAGTGAGCCGTCTCACGGAATTCAAACCCACTCGTCTCTCTGTTTCAACGGTCACCAATGATGAGACGACGTTTACTCGCCTACCTCCGCACTAATCACACGCGTGCATTAACAGCTGGGATCATGACTGACTTGTAGCGACGGAGAAGATTCACGTCTTTTGTCTCTGCGAAACTAAATATCACGTCAGTAATGCACTCCTGTTCCAGCTTGAGACGGTACTGGTTGATAGAACAGTCCTTGTAAGTCCTTCTCACAGATCTTCACCTACGGCATTCTTCAACATCAGAAAGCGTGCCGATTACTGACCACCACTGAATCATTACATATCAGCAAATCAATTTGGATGGCTATGGAAAATGAGCAGAGGTGGCAAAGGCTCTACTGCCTCAAGTTCAAGCGCGGTAGAGGCTGCAGCTACGATGGACATTTAAGTAAGCAGCATTCAACACATTCAGATGGAAGGTGGACTCGATGTGGAGGATGGAGATGTCTCTCAGTCTGCTAACGCATGCAGCTTACACTTCCGTCTCGTTCTTGACAAATTGAGGATGATTGCGTGGGACTACCTCGAGTAGTTGAAGGTGTCCTGTTAAATACTAACTAGTACGAATGCTGACGATTTTAGACTGAGCAAAGTTGTCTAGGACATTTTCGATGTCATATCCAACCTCACATAAAAAAGATGCATCAAACCACCTATTGACATCCGGAGGTGCTGCAGGCTAAATCATGTGTTGATAAGCTGGCTGGGCATGGTCAACTCACCTTTCTATTTATGCATCTGCCTTCCTTTCCACCACATTGCAGTTTGCCTTCTCAATATTGGCAAGAAACAGAGACATCTTTGGGAGTGTTTATTTTTAAAGGGCACCCTGGTGGTTGGTGAGTGTTCGAAGTGGTGGAGTGATCAAATTAACCAAACTTGAGTCCGTTCTTTGTGATCGCGGGAACCACGGGAGTGTGGGTAGAGCAGATGTGAAGATCCAATGGACAGCGCGCCACCGCGCAAACAAAAGTGTATGTTGTGTGATAAGACACAAGCTTCCTTACCATTAGACATGTTGAATGAATTGCCATCGATGAAGCAAACCACTCTACCAATTGAAAAGCCTCCCTCTGTACAACAAGGCGGTTACCATTCAAGTCAATTTAGCACACAAGTCATGGCTGAACTCTTTAATTGTTAACAACGAGGCTAACTAGATAATGTGAATGTGGGGATAATCAGAGCGATTGCATGTGCAAGTGTGTGATGAACAGGATATCCTCCTCAACCCACCTCCTTACCATGAGCAGCACTCTCTGTCAATGTGGATCACATACGGAGGCAGTGTAAACTTAGCCTGCCTCCATTCGATGGTGTCAGAGAACATCATTGGTTCTTTAAAGGTGCCATCCTAATCTAGAACAAAATGACTATGCAATTGGTGATAAAAGGATCGACAGTGAATTGTGAGGATGGCACTAGCTACAGTGGAGTGATTCGCCCATGCTTTGTCTCTCCAATGAGACCTCCGATGGTGCTTCTTGCATCATGCACTTAGTGTGAATGTGAATAGGTAGCCATGAGGTCCCACATGGCTAATGGGCGTTTTGCACTAAGTGCTGTCTGTAGTCAAGGAGGATAACATATTTGTAAGCGATGAGGTAGAATGCAAGAGATTAATGTGGTCAGAGTTGGAGGTGGAGACTTGAGTCAGGGTGCAGCAGAATACTCATTAGCTAATGCGCATATGTTGTGTGCCTCAACTCATTCTGTCCTTTGAAGATCGTGAAAGTAGGTGAGAACGCTGATGATTTATGACCGGTATTTTCTGCCAATCAATGAAAGACGCAACATCTAGTTGATGTTTTGAAATGTGATATGACGTGTTAAACGTTAGTTCTTGCTCTATCAAATTAATTTAGTCCTATAACTTTATGGAGTCTATATGGGTGATTTTTGGGGATACTGTTCTTCATTAAGCTAATTGTTACGGCACATACTTCACTGGTTAACAGACAGCCCAATTATAAAAAAAGTGGTGATTTAGAAGAGTGTGGCACTAAGGCTGAGAAAGGTAAGACATGATATCGCAAGAGTAAGAATGACACATAATAAATAAAGTTTAGGAAAACAATAAAAGATGTGCAACCTAAGCGGGTAGACGGAGACACAAACAGGCAGCCAGACGCGAAAGAGGCAATACAGGCAGATGGGCAGACAAAATACCAATAGAGAAGGGGTGCTAGAAGAGAGCAGTGAAAAAACGGAGAGAAATAAAGAAGGTAAAATGGTCAGTGGAACGCATCAGAGAAGCATAGGGCTTGGGAGTGTGTGAGCCTAAGTAGCCTCCAATGACAGCTTAGTTGGCAGAATGGATTACTGTAGTGGTGATCAGCAGCAGCAATCCTTAGGTCAGTAATTCATATCCGCCTCTTCGGAGTAGTATGTCGTCTTAAGACCCCTCTTGATGCTTTTGCTTACACAAACACGTCTTCGCCACCAGCAATGCTCTTCGTTACTCACCGCCATACCACATGGATGATGTGATAGGATGGAGGCCAGTCGTGTTTGGAGGGAAAGACGCACTCGATGGTACTAATGCACAGATGAACCAACGCAACTCATTCGTCCTGCCTAATGCTTACACACTCAAAGACATTTTTTATTTTACAAGTGCCGAATTTCATTAAAGAAGAAGATATTGTAGTGAGCACTTGCGGTTAGCACAGCATCCTGTTTTGCCACCCCTTAAATTGTCAAAGTGAGGGCAAAGAGAGTAACGTGTGAGGATGGTTAAGGGCAGCATTTGAATTCGAAATAGGCCACAGAGTTGCCTGCTCTAGAGGCACTGTGTGAATACTTATTCAGCTATTTTTGAACCCACCCACTCCACTAAACGACTCCACATATGTCATTTGCTATTCCTACTTATTTATAGGATGATATTTTAGGTAGAAATAATCGCGTGGTTGTGTCATCCCGCGACCTTGATATGTTATGCCTAACAATGGAGCAGAAGAAGTGGAGCATGTGGTGGAGGTGCGTGCGATGTAGAGTGTCAGAGATAGCCAATGCTTTGGATGAGCACTGATTGAGTGATAGGTGTTGGTATATTGCAGCATAATTGTTGATGTCACCTTCGCTTGCCTGACTTTCTCGGGTTTGTAGTGGCAGATGGTGTGATTTCGTTTTCGTGGTATATGGAGAGGGATACACAGGTGGCAACGACTGTGAGCTTGCGAGTAGCTGAGTGAGGGCGTGAGTGAACTCACTCACGGACGTGAAGCATTCTTTTGCTTATCTCCGATGGTCACTGGTGATCAGACCATGGATACTTATTTTCCTACACTAAGGTGACAAAGACGACCTGGGTGCGGAGCATGGGGTGTAAATATCTGGGTTGTATAAGTTGAAAAAGGCTTTCTACTTCTCCTCGTGTGAGTAATATGACTTTTTGGCTGGAGTGTATGTTGATTGTAAAGTAATCGTTGTAAGTGGTCCTCAGTGGCGATCACCGTTAGTTATCTGTAGGTGCAGTAAGCGTGCCAATTACAGAAGTTCGCCGTCTCGCCAAATGATAGGGAATAAAATTCATGGATGGAAGCTGTATCTTCTAGTCTGTTGGTGCGATGTCGCCTCTTCCATTCCACTGCTCACGCGAGTGAGGAAGCTGTGTTTGTCCTCTTTGCAATTAGAGAACTTCATCGAAAGCAAAAATATGCAAATGATGGGCTATTTGAATTCTTACAAGAATATTGGCGATATGTGTATTATTCCTAATCCGACAAGCTAAAGATGTGCCTACATGCCTGTTTTTATAGGGAAATGCTGTAGGTTTGGGCATGCTGAAGTTACTTGGAGGCGTACGCAATCTTTGCATGTTTGCCTCAAAATATGGTTAAGCTTACCTCATATGTGAGTTTATTGTTAACAATGAGACCAGCCGTATACCGTGAATATGAAAAAGAAACAAGGCGATATCCATGCTGGCGTGTGCAGTCAAAATGCGTTTCCTCCCTGTCCTTCCCCTTTCACCATGAACAGCACTTGATGTCAATGTGGATCACTTCTGCAAGCAAAGCCAAGCTCGGTATGTCGACATTTAATGTTGTGAATGAATTTCGCGGCTACTTCATTGCATCACAATAGCTGCCAAATTGGGTTAGACTAAGTGATGAGGACTAAGAGATTGTTGGTGAAGAAAGAGGCTGTGAGGTATGAAGATGGTGTCAGCTGCACTGGGGTGGGATGTCGGCGATGACTCCCAACAATAAGGCTTCCCTTTAATGTGCTGCACTCAATGTGCATATCAGTCTCAAGTCCTCACAAGGTTCATAAGCTAAGTGCCTGCCATCTAGACTGTCCGCAAGTAGGATGGACGAAGGCAATATGAGAGAGCAGGGTACAGTCCGCAGACGCTAAGGATGCTAGTTTTTTGGCTGATAAAGGGGATGCCGGTGGGCATTGAGAAGGAAGATAGACTACGAGACTTGAGTGGACGAGAGGCATGATGCTTATCTGTACTGTTGAGATGCTCTGTGTTTGAGCATCAGGCCATGCTTGACTGCAATGTTTTGTCTTGCAGTGGAAGGGGGTCCTCGTTGAAGCAGTTTTCCTGAATGGTTAAGATTGGTGTGTCCTGCAACGTTGGGCACTGTCGCAATAGGAGCTATATATTTGACGAATCTCACAAGAAATGACATGCCATACATCACAGCTGTGTTTAGAACAATTTGTGGGAAGAACGTGTTAAATGCTTGTAAATGGTCTTTTTCGGTGAAATTCACTCGTACTTCTGCCTCTGGCTCACAGTCCATCTGGTTCCACTGAAGCAAGTTGTTTGGTGTGTACGCACTGAAGTAGAAGACGATAAGATGCGTTCCTGCTGCAGCCTACATGACATTTGCGATGAATGTTGTTGCGTGCTACCACAGGCTGCCATAACATGATTTGTGAGTGTGGTAGAATTATCCATGTGTGACAGGAAGGGAAGGACGATGGGATGCGACAATGTCGCAACTTGAAGACTGCTGAGTTGAAACACCGCTGTGTGGTATGATGCGTGCCTAGAATGGCTGATCTGAGGGATGCAGTACTACGAGAGAAATGCACGTGCTCGAGAAGCTTTGCTACAGGAATTTGGAACTACATTTGAATGGACAAATTGAAGATGTCATTAGTTTTTCCCCGCAGAATTAACCCTGACTCTCTCCCTGACCATCAAACCAGTAACATGAGACATGCAATTTACTACGGCCTTTTGTGCCTGCTGTCTACCTCATTTGATCACTTTCCTGTAATCACAACAAGGTTTCGTGAGCATGTTAGACAACACTTGTGTGAAACCTGAAAAAGTGTGAATAATCTGTCTCTGCATTTTTTGACCTATCTCATCACCTTGAGCCAATCATGCAAACAAAGCTGGCTGCGAGTGCGACGGAACCCACGAGTGGTGTCTTCTTGCAAATAAGATCTGATCATACTACCATGCTGTCAGCACATCCCTATGTCCACATTTTATCACTTGCATAGTTTGAGACATTCCTGGCAGAAGCAAAAGCCTACGACGCTGCCTTTTTGTTATTTGTTAATCAGCTGAGAAATCATTGACATCGCAGTGTAGTGAATCTTACGTGGACAAAGGAGAGCCAAAATGTCTACAGTAGAGCCGGCTGAAAGACAATCGCATATCACTCTTGTGAGAAACGCATTGGGAGAGGCTGTAAAATTCTACATGTAAATAACGCTGCACAGAGATTGCAGGGTTTTACAACTGAATTAATAGGAGTAGCATAGACACTTCTGCATGAAACACACCACCAACTTTCCTGTATCGCATGCTTGCTGCACCATCGACGTTTTATCACTCCATCAGATTAATCCACTTCTTTAATGGTGACGCAGTTATTTTTTACGTAGGTGCCGTCATGGGTGCAAGTCAGTTTGGTTGTGATCAAATTTTCAATACTTAAGTTAGTGTTCGAGATGGGCCTACTTATTGAATGAAATTCCAAATGTTCACTTGAGGTTAGGAAAATTAGGTGTGTAAGTTTTTGGTTTGTTAACATTTTCTGAGATCCTGAACCTTAGATATTTCTTGGAGAGCGAATTTTTTGTGTACATAAGCATACGAGTGTACCTGTCTACGTAAATTTCACCATTAAAATAAGTTTTTATGTGTGTGTTTGTTTGAGTGGATGTGATACGTATTTTTAAAGTTAAGTCCCTCTGCATATATGAATATGCATGAGGGAATATGGTTGTTATTATCAATATTGAGTATGCACACAGTTTAATGTATTTTTAAAGGTTATTTTATTATTAAATTTTTGCATATGCATGTTCGCCAATGGGTGCACGTGATGTGTTTTATTGAATGTGATTATATGCATGGATAGATATGAGTGTGTACAAATATGTGCACTTCTCTCTTTGTTAAAGTCCTTGATTTTGACGGAGAGCTATCGTAAATTTCTACACAATTTTAACTTAAATGAATTTGCTACCCCGTTTGTAGACCCTCAGTGCTCTTGAATATTTGTAGGCCTCTTCGAAAGACAAGTGCAAATGAATGTAATGATAAAATTTTGTGGTGTGCAATCAGTAATTGCCAAATTAATCACAGGTAAATTAACGCATGTTATCAAATGTTAGCATCCTAATGTAACAGTTTCCACTGTTTATTAAGCTGAGCAATGTGGGATGTGGATAATAAAAATTCCGAATATAAATTGACAGAGAAAGGAACTTTAGATAACTTTTTGTGGCTTTTTGAGTGCTCTACGTTATACTTATTTTGCGTGGCCAATTATATATCACTTACCGCCTTGGTGAGCAGGGGTGTCGATGTGTTCGGAGGAGTAATTTTCTGCCCTTTTTTAGGACAGTTGAGGATACTCAGTCTTGTAAATGCTCCCTTTGATCATTTACAGTACCAGTCTCTAATCAGATATCCTTGTGGTTTACGATGGAATCATTCACTATGCAATGACGATTGTAAGCACCGCTAGTGGTTCCTTCTCAAAATAGCTAGATTTCCATGACTTTGTTTGCCTTCAGCGGTAAATACTTTTGGCAAATCTATACAATGACTCTTCATTCCCGCCTTCAGTTTTAGGCACCCGGATGGAAAAGATTGGCTAGAGGAGTTGGACATCTCAAATTGTGTAATATGTGTAGAACGAATGCTCTTTTCCCTCTCAGGATGAGCCTACAACGTTGGATCACAATGTCATGTCGGTGATCGAGCTCACGTGAGCTTGAAGTCATGAAAGTACATTGTTGAGCATGTGCCAGCTGTAAGCAACTAAAAAGTGAACATTCTCCCTCGACAGCATTCCTCAAGGGCTCAAGTTAAAAGCCTATTCTTAGAGCAGCTTTTCGCCATGGATGGCCAAAATAGAAGGCATTGTTCATTTATGCTTTAAATGAATTGTCCTCATTACAGTTTATGGCAAGGCTATCCGCATTTGTGTTAGGTTACTGCGGTGCTGCCCAGATCCAAACTATCCGCATAATTGGGTGGAGAGAGAGAGAATGAGCTTGTGGGCAGAGTGGGCATGGCAGTGGAAGGAGAAGAGAGAGCTTGATGGTCAGGATCAAAGGAGCTTTTGTCTCAGCACCATCATCACCATCCCCCTCAGTTGCGTTATTATCTCCAGCACACTCCTATCATCATCATTCTTGCAAATCTAATAATGCTTCTTCAAGTCATGATTGTCGACTCCCCTCAACACTACCATCGGCAGTAGTGTTAAAGGCAGAGCGAGAGCATCACAGGACTGCACGAAATTGCCCTGCAGAAAGAACAATAGTGCAATAACAATGAGCTGACAGATGTTGAAATGGTAAGAGATTGGCCATTCGCTTTAGGACTAAAGGCGCCTCCTGTGTTCTAAATACAGCCTCGAGGTCTTATCTCCCTAGTAGAGGAGAGTCATTATAACTTACCTCTTTTGCAGTTTCTGTACCTAATTTCCTCCCCTTTTAAAAGAAATGAAGTGTACTGTGGGAAACTAAATGAGTCAATCGGGAAATTAGCTATTTGAAATTTATGGCTGCCTT